GTAAAAACCGGATCGGTCATCAAACCGGTTAGGGTACTAGGTCAGTGGGTCAATGGTTGAACCGGTGGGTCACTAATTAAACCGCATGACTCGATTTTTATTAATTTTTTTTTAAATATTCATGTTAAATATATTTTATACTTATAAATTTCAATAAATTCATATCTTATTTTAAATTTCAGTTTTCATCTTATTTAAAATTATCTTTATTTTTATTTTGTATAAAGAAATACATAAAAAAAATTACATGTTAAACTGTATATTAATACAAATTAAAAATATAAATATATAATATGCTTACAATTGATATTACAAAATAATTTATGTAATATCTACATAGATATTATATTATTAAATATATAATTTAGAATTAATAATATATTATAAAAGTTATTTAAGTTGCATATATTATATACAAATATATTAATTAGAATAAGTATTTATTCTTATGCTTAATAAGACTCTTTGCTCTTCCATTAACAAATTCAATTCTCATTGTTATTTTTTTGGTTTGTGGTACTTTAAAAAAAATTATAAAAAAAAATTATGGTTGAACCGGTTTGACCCATCGGTTCACTTCTTGAACCGGAAAATTGACCGGTTCAATCTGGTTTGAAACGGGTTGAATGCATAACCGATCCAACTTAAGATTCAGACCGGCTGGACCACTGGTTCCCGGTTCAACCGATCCGACCGGCCGGTCCGATCCGAGTTTTTAAACATTGACTAGAACACTACTAGAAAAGTGTTATTTTCCTGCGAATTTTCTTGCAAAAAAATATTCGTAGAAAGTTTTTGTGAATTTTCCTGCAAAAAAAATATTCGCATAAATTTTTTGCTAATTTTCCTACAAAAAAATGTTCGCAGAAATTTTTTGCAAATTTATTTGCGAAAAATAATTTACAAATATTTCTGACAAATTTTGCGACAATTTTAAGATTCATAGAAATTGTTGTCCATGGTAAAAATTTGCAGAAAATATTGTAAGAATTTTATTTTGTTTCTTGTAGATTTTCGTGCAAAAATAAATTTGCAAGTAATGTTTACTAAATTGTAGAAAAATTTTGCAGGTAATTTTTCCTGCAAATTTTAATCCGCAGGAAAAATAAAAAAAATATTTAAATTTATAAGTTTAATATTTTTAAAAAAACTTCCAAGTCCCACATCAATTGAAAATAAAACAATTAAAGAACATATAAGTTGGGGCAACACTTACCTTACAAGTTGATTTGTATGGTTGAGTATTAGACTTATTTTTTTTTTGTTCGTCCCTGGACGTAGCAGTGACTAATCTCCCCCAAGATTTAACGCGGCTGCATACACAAGGCAGGATTCGAACCCCTGACATTGTTTAAGCGTGGATGAACCCCTATCGCTAAACCACACGCTTGGGGTTGAGTGTTAGGCTTATAATTTACAATCTTAGAATTTAAAAGATTATGTATCACATGTTGGAGGCATGAAAATAAATATTTCGGATGAATTCATTTTGAACATTTGAAAGCTGAAGAATTATTAATAGAATTTATAGTAATTTCTTTAATTTTTTTGCAGGAAAATTTTCTTGCGAATTTTAAAATTCGCAAAAATATATTATCCACGAAGGTATTACTTGCAGATAAAATTTCACAGAAAAATTTGTAGGAACAATGTTTCTTGTGAATTTTTATGAAAAATTCGCAGAAAAAGTCGCATGTAATTAGGGGTGGGTAGATAGACCCGGGTCCGCAGATTTCGCAGATAACGGACCCGTTTTTTTTTCAAATTCGTATGATTATGTTTAATTTTTGAGTCTTGCCCGTGAAGTTTGCAGACTTGGTGGATTTAATCCGCGGGCTCGCGGGCTAGTCCGCCGACTTCACTAGTTAATATTTTAAATATTACGATTTTCATATTAAATTGTGCATTTAATTTTTTAAATTATTATGACATTAAAATTATGTTTAGTTGGTATGTATTTGTCATTTAAATTATTTTTATGACATTTTGATGTTTTTATTATTGAAAATTTGGTACTATTATTTAAGTATTTGTAATTATTTTTATTTTAAATCATTTTAACTATTGATAAATTTTAGTATGATAAAATTTAGCTTATAAATAAAAAAATATTTTTTTCTTCTAATTTTATGTATTTTTATTTTTTAAAAATTTATTTTTTTGAACCATTGTTTAGGCTCGCGGGCTGGTCCGTTATCCGCTGATTTTGGTGGGCCGGATACGGACTTATAAAATAAATCCATTTATTTTATGGACCGAACTTATCCGGCCCGTATAAAACTCGGGTTTTACGGACCGGTCCGTATACCTACCCCTATGTAGTGACGGATCCAGAAAATTTGTTAAGTGGGGACAATAAAATATTTTATAATATTTTTTTTATTAAAAATATAATAATTTTTTAGAAAAGTATATTTTTGTGACAAAAAATTTAATATATTATTTTTTATAAATTAAAAATTTCATGAATAGAGTAATAATTCATCCTTTTTCTGTTTTTTTGTATGATATTATATTTAAGTGTGATTTTGTAATTTTTAGTAACTTATTTAATATTAGAGGAACAAAATGGTATAAATTATTAAGATAAATATGATATAGTTACTATTTATTTTCTTTTGTATCTCTCATCAATTTTTACGTTCATTTAAATCAAAAATATTTTATGAGAATAATGCCTATTTTTTTAAAAGAGTATATTTATTTTTTTATTAAAGATGTTTAAATAAAAAAATAAAAAATTTATGCAGTAATTACTCTCATTCTTTTTAATTTGGATCTTCTCCTAGCAACACACAATTTATATATATAAGATCAAAAGGATTAAAAAATAAAATAAAATTTGAAAAACAATTTACATTTGTAAACTAAATTATGACATCTTTAATAAATAAAGTAATAAATCTTTTGGTCTAAAAATAAAGTATCTTATAATAAAAAAAATTAAGATAATTTTATCATAAAATAAAAAAAATTACACAATAAAATAAAATATTAATATATTTTAACATATTAGATATAAAAAATAATTATTACAATAAACATTATATATAGTCACATATAAAAAGTGTTACCGTAATTTATATTTACTTTTTAACAATATATCATTATTTAATAACTTTTTTAATAAATTAATATATAATTAATATATATATATATATATATATATATAAATAAAAAATAGAAAAATTTTAGTGGCACAACCCCACTCACTTAGTCGTGGGTCCATCCCTGCCTATATATAATAAGAGTGTAAAAATAACATTTTATATTTGTAATAACTGCTAATGCCTAGCATGAAAAGAGATGTATCTCTTTATTAAAAAAAAAACGTATTCTTTATTTTTATCACGTTTCCTTTCCCCTGTTACATTTTATTTTATTTTTCAAAGTCATGTCACACCCCATCTATGTAATACACTAATACTGGGAGCCAATATTTTATTAGACTCAATTTATAGCTGGTTCCACAAGTTTATAAATATAATCTAACTATTTTCAACGCATGCCCACAACACAAGTGTTGCTTCTGCATCTGCTCTCCCATTTCCAAACCAGGTCAGTTCTCTCTCCCTCTCTATCTAACTCTTGAGGTATTGAATCACTATGGTCTCTTTCCGTTGTAGAGCACTATTGAACTTTATGCATGGAACCTGATATCATCATTGTAAAATTTGCTCTCGCAATTCCAACATATATATATATATATATATATATATACACACCCATCAATTTCCTTTATTTATATTCTTAATTTGGAAGTTTACTAATTCGTGTTCTATTCTAATAATAAATACGTTATGTAAACGTTGGTACTCAAGATCGTTTGATCATAGATCATAAGAGAATATTAGTGTTTGTTGATCCATGTAGTTGACCTCACTTATTGTATAATAGCTCGATTTGTTGTTGTTGTGAAATTGTTTGACCCAAACTTTTTTCTTTTTTTGGTGATAATTGACCCAAAATATTGTTACTAACGTTTGTGCACAACTTCATGTGGTAAAGGATGGAAGCCATTGCTCGGACAGTGTTACAAAAATTGAGCTCTTTCGCCCAAGAGGAGTTTGGAGTCATTTGGAACCTCCAAGATGATGTACAACGAATGAGGAGCACTGTGTCTGCAATAAAAGCTGTACTCCTGGATGCAGAAGCAAAGACTAACAACCTTCAAATCAGTAATTGGTTGGAGGAGTTGAAAGATGTACTTTATGACGCAGATGACTTGCTAGACGATCTCTCTACTGAAGCTTTGAAAAGAAAATTGATGGTTGGTAACAGCATCTTGAGAGAGGTACAGATTTTCTTCTCCTTCTCAAACCAAATTGTCTATGGTCTTAAATTGGGTCATGGAATGAAAGCAATCCAGAAGAGGCTAGAAGACATTGCTAAAATTAAGATCACACTGCAGTTGACTGATCGCCCTTTGGAGACTCCAATTGCATATAGGGAGCAGAGACAAACTTACTCTTTTGTGAGTAAAGATGAAGTCATCGGGAGAGAGGAGGAAAAGGAATTTCTTAAAAGTTATTTACTAGACACCAATGAGACAGTCAATGTTTCTGTAGTTCCCATAATTGGGATTGGAGGACTAGGGAAGACTACACTTGCTCAACTTGTTTATAATGATAATGCTGTCCAACGCTATTTTCAGCAAACAATGTGGGTGTGTGTCTCAGAGGAATTTGACATAAGGAAAATAGCTCAAAAGATGATTGGGAGTGACAAGGATAGTGAGATTGAGCAAGTACAGCAAGATCTCAGAAACAAAATTCGAAGGAAGAAGTATCTACTTGTGCTGGATGACGTGTGGAATGAGGATCGTGAATTGTGGCTTAAGTTGATGAGTCTACTCATGGAAGGAGGTAAAGGGAGTATCATAATTGTAACAACACGGAGTAGGACCGTTGCAAAAATAATGGGCACACTTCCACCTTTTTTCTTAAAAGGCCTGGATTTGGAAAGATCTTGGAAGCTATTCTCTCGAGTGGCTTTTGATGGGGGTGAAGAACCAAATGATAGGGAGTTGTTAGCCATTGGAAGGGGAATTGTTAAAAGATGTGCCGGGGTTCCCCTTGCCATAAGAACTATTGGCAGCCTCTTGTATTCTCGTAACTTGGGCCAAAGTGATTGGTTATATTTTAAGGAAGTTGAGTTTTCAAAGATAGATCAACAGAAGGACAAAATCTTTGCAATCCTGAAACTGAGTTATGACCATCTTCCTTCATTTTTGAAAAACTGTTTTGCTTATTGTTCATTGTTTCCAAAAGGTTTTAAGTTTGACAAGAAGACACTTATTCAGTTATGGGTAGCTGAGGGGTTCATTCAACCATCAAATGACAATAGATGTGAAGAAGATGTTGGTCATGAGTACTTCATGAATTTGCTGTCAATGTCACTTTTCCAAGATGTAACTATAGATGATTATGGTGACGTAAGTACTTGTAAAATGCATGACCTGATACATGATCTAGCACAGCTAGTGGTTGGGAAAGAATATGCTATGGTTGAAGGAAAAAAAGGAAACATCGGAAACAGAATACGTTATTTGTCATCTCGTACATTATCACATTTTGCACAGACACCATCATCTTCCCACAAATTAAGGACATTTATTATTCTTGGCCAGCAACTTTATGGAAGCAAATGTTTGGATCTGTTACATTTTCATTTTTTTTTAAGCCTAAAGTGTTTACGGGTGTTAACACTTTGTGGGTTGGATATTGTAACAATTCCAACGAGTATTAAAGAGTTGAAGCATTTGAGATATCTTGATCTTTCAAAGAATCATTTTCTTTTAAATCTTCCACCAGATGTTTCTAGCCTACATAACTTGCAAACTCTAAAGCTTTCCCAATGTTTTAGACTCAAAGAGTTACCATCACATATGAACAAAAGTCTTAGGCATCTTGAATTGAATGAATGTGAGAGGATGACATGTATGCCATGCGGGTTCGGACAACTGACCAATCTTCAGACACTAACACATTTTTTAGTTGACAATAGAGAAGGATTTGAAATGAAACATATGCCAAATGGGTGGGAAGAGTCGGGCAATCCTCGAACACAAACACATTTTTTATTGGACCATACAGAGGGATCAGAAATAATGTGTATGCCATGTGGGTTGAGACATTTGACCTGTCTTCAAACACTACCACATTTTTTATTGGACTGTAAAAGTATAAGTGGTGGTATAAGGGAATTGAGCGGGCTAAACAGCCTTAGAGGGAAATTGGAAATTAAATGGTTGGATTCCCTGCGATATTATGCTGAAGAGGTCGAGTCTGCAAAGGTACTTCTTGATAAGCAACATCTTCAAGAACTGGAATTACGTTGGTGGAATGATGAGAATGAGGTTAGAAATCTACCATTATCGAAGTCTGAATTAATGTTTTTGGAGTTTCCTAGTGCAGACAGAAGAAAGTTCAATCAAGAATTTTGCGGTTGTGGGGAAGATGAGAATATTTTAGAAGGCCTCCAGCCACATGACTCAATTAAAAAACTAGTAATAGATGGATATTGTGGCCGAAGGTTACCAGACTGGATAGGGAATCTCTCATCACTCTTGAGTCTTGAAATCAACAATTGCAATGCTTTGATATCACTACCAGAAGGATTTCGTAACCTCATATCTTTAAAGCGGCTTCGCATATATAACTGCTCACTGTTAGAAATAAGATGTGCAAGAACAAATGGTGAAGACTGGCCAAAAATTGCTCACATCCCGAAAGTTTTGATCCCTCCCTTTACACCATCTTTATTCAGGTATTATACTTGAGTCAAGATCTTGGTGCAATTGTGGTGATTCTGAATCTACTCTATTTATCCTATTTCCATGTATATTCTCAATTGCATGTCCTCTGGCCTCCATAATCTATTCACTCAGCTTCACAGCATCTCAAAGTTACACCCCTATCAATTTGAATTGTTTTGCACTCGGACAGCCTCATTTAGCGTTCATTCTTCTCTTGATTCTAGCATCACTTTTTTATTCTGCTCGTGATTTATGCCATGAATCCATGATGAATGTGTAGATGGCGGCAACCATTTATATTTTTGTCAATCACCATTTTCTTGCAATGCCTCGGTGATTGGGATTGCTTGAGTCGAGGTAAATTTCTTCTCTTCACTAGTCTAATTTTTTCATTGGTGTTCTGAATCTGTGATGATATTTAAGTTTTCCATATCTATTTACATCATTTATCTTTATTTTCTGACTTGAGATTGATGGTTTTGTTGCTTCAAGAACTCGAAGCTGTTCGTTTTGTTGAACATGTCTTAGTTTCCCAATCCTATTTAATGATGTTTGACCTATAAGAGAATCTGTTTTGGTGAAACCCTTTTCTCCCTTATGATTGTAATTGTATTTTTGCTTTGAGAACTAGAAAGTAGAAACTGGCTTCTCCTGGTTCTGCTTGCAGAACATTTCCATGTTTCTTTGAGTTATCACATAAGTAGGATAGAAACCCATCTACTGTATGTTCTTGTATCTTCTAAAGTTCCATTTTTATATGTAGCAGCGCCCAATTGAATTGATAGACAATTGTGAATTGTTACCTGCATAATGGCATATGAATCACAGATTTTGATGGTATATGGCATATAAGTTACAACATACTAATTTAGGCTGTGCATTAATGGTGAACGGTTATGATAAAGAGCAATGTAACAAAACTCCATATCAAAGGTGATATGATACCGTAAATAAGGGTGTTGATATTGTTGACCGTTGAAATTTTTTTCACTATCATAATTAAATATTTTAAAATTTTTGTAATTTTCTATTTGCGTGTAAGTTTGGATAAAGATTGTTCAAAAAAAGTAAGTTATAAAGGCAAGTGATGTTTGTTTATTAGTTTAATCATATTTTATTGTTTACTTTTTTAATTAGGAGTTAATTAGTTTTAGTATTTAAGTATTTTCTATAAATAATTTTAATGTGTGCAAAAAATTAAGTTCATAACTTAAATATATCATATCAGTTTTTATCCCTTTTGTATGTGTAATGTTCCATATTTTTTGGTATGAACTTCTATATTTTATTTAGTTATACACCTCCATTTTTTGTGTTCTGCTTTCAATAAATGACACCTTTCGCAGCTACGGTGACGGCACCACCATCAGCGCCTCCACTTTCGACAAATACACGGAGCTTGTTAATGGCTTCAACGACCTATAATTCGCCTCCTACTCTAATGATGCCAAAGGAAGATCTCAATCCTTTGTCAGATACACCGAGAACGATAACGGTGTAGAACAATCCTTCTATGACCCTTTCTGTTCCTCTGAATCTTCATGGTTCAACTCACTCTAGCATTTGTTTCCTTCAAAAGTCACCAAAAGTTTCATCTTTTTATTCCTTTTCCTCTCATTCTCTAATAAATTGCGCATCTTTTGCATACCCACATGCAGATTTTGTTGCTATGAATTTTTTATTTTGGTTTTTTTATGTCCTAGGGTACCGCACGTGGTGATTTTATAGAGTTTTCTTTTCTGCATCTTAACAAGAGAAAGAAATATTTTTGTGAAAGAGAATGGAATTGAAAGATCATAGACATATAATCAGTGTTTTAAATTGCGGACCGCATCACGTATTGCAGCAGTAATATTGCGGTTGTGGCCTTGTCCGCAACGGCATCGGATCACAATTGTGGTAAGACCGGAAATCACACATTTTTTCCACAACGTAAAAGTGTTGCGTCTGCAACACATCCACAATGTACCGCAATAGATCTGCAATATGACAAATTAATACTATAATTTTAAAATAAATTAACTTTTTTTGAAGCAATAAAATAAATTAACTTACTCATTAAAATAATAGAATATTTTTTAAAAAAAAAAGGAATTAAAATGTATAAATCTTTAAAAATAAAATATATTGATAATTATAAATTTTTTATATTTAGTAAAAATAATTAATAATTTTACATCGCAACGACTGCAATCCGCATCGCAATACTTGCAATCACAATAACCGCAACTGCGACCACAACCGCAATTTAAAACCGTGCATATAATTAATGTGGGACTATTTTTCAAAATATAATAAATTAATGAGGGATTAATCCGTAAAAACTAAAACTTGCTTGTAAAATGATAAGTATAATAAAAATCACACATGATATCATTTAAATGATTTTAGTCAAAGGAGGCATTAGTATCCTCTAAATAGAACTTACACTGTAGGAATTGTCTAAATTATAATGTAACAAAACTCTCTCAAAAGTGATATAACTCGTTATATTGATTTACCGCTGTGCATCCCTTAAGGATTTTTGATTTTGATATGGCACATAATTAATAGCAAGATTTGTATAACATAAGGTCCCCTTACACTTCTCTCTGATTCAGTAGCTATTTCAAAGAATGAAAGCTGAAAATTGAAGGGAAAAAAATGAAAGAAAAGGAAGAGCCTGCCTTAAGTCATTGAGTCCTTGTTTTCTCTTTCTAACAATTCTCAGTATGTACCCTCGGGTAGTGGAGTCTAACAATTCTCCCTCTCAACAATTTTGTAACGACCCGACTAGTCATTACACACAGCACAACACCACAGCACTACACAGAAAAGAGCAAGTATATATATAAACAACTAGAATATATACACAAGGTCCAATCTGGGGCTAAAAATCAGAGTAAACAAAATACATCCAGCAATGCTATACTAAGTAGCTAAAAACAACAAAACATCAAAATCCACTCCATTTGCCAGCTGTAGACCCACTTCAGAACACCAACCTAACCCTGCTCTGCTCCCATACATAGTATGATCATTGCAGTCCAAACCACATGGAAACAACAAAGGGTAAGCTAGTGAAAAGCATCAACATATACACGTATAATTACAAGAATTATAATCAGCTAGAGCTAACAACATATCAACCAGCTTAACAACATCAGCATATAATATATCATAGCATACATCTCACATCATTCAGCAATAACAGCAGTAAACAACAGTAAACACACAATGCGTCGTCAGGCATATCAGCTAGAATTGGTCGCTTGTAATCAGTATAGCTCGACCTGACCCCTATATTGTGGTCGCTTTGTACACGTGTGCCTCAACCTTGCCCACACACGGGACCACTAAGAACTTAGAGGAGAATAGCATAGTCACCACTCCAAGAGTCAGCTTTCCAGGGAGGGTTTTCAACAAATTGGGCTCTAAGACCACCACAGCTACCTCAATCCACACAATGGGATGAGCAATTTCGAAAAACATCTCCTCTAGTCTTAGTGATCAACAGCTCAGCCTTACGGCCTACAACAGCTTAGTCTTACGGCCTACAACAGCTCAGCCTTACGACCTACAACAGCTCAGCCTTTCGGCCTACAACAGCTCAGCCTTACGGCCTACAACAGCTCATCCTTATGGCCTACAACAGTTTATATCAGCATGCAGCACAGCACAGCAAATCAGCATACAGTAATAACAGCATGCAGCACAGCTCAACATTATAAAATACGGCTTAAACAACTCATAGCCCAGCTTAAACAACTCACAACACATCAAAATCATCACTTAGCTCAACAACATTCATCATTAACAACTTAAATCAGCATAAACACCATTCGGCATAGCTCAGCTTAATAGCAATAACAGCTCAAACAACATACATCACAGCTCAACTTAACATTATTAACAGCATGATCAACAACTTCACAACGTACAACATGTTCAACACATATTACGACTCATCCATCTTGTTTACAACTCATCTATCATGCCAAATTACCCACCCAAACAACACCAATCAACCTAAGCACCTAAAACAACTTTCAACTTAACCAAATCACTAATTGTGAAATGACAACCTTCAAATAAAATAGCATATCAGGAGTTGTACTACTCCTACCATGCTCATACTTATCTCATATGAGAGATAAGAAGATTTCCTAAAACTCTCATGAAGACACCAAGTCTTAATTACTTCATCTACCTTGTTAAAAATGATAAACACCGCAACAGCTATAAGCAATGTTGGCAGCTTGACCCCTCTTCACTAAAACCGCTATATCCTGAGTTCTAGAACTCCTTTTTGGGTGATTCCAGCGCCATTGGAAAGCTAACATCCAAGGCTACAACTTTCATGAAGACTATAAAGTCAAATTCTGAAAGAAAAATTCACGCCCGGCTCAAATCTCAACCAGAGACCTATAGAGGTCTTTTGCGCCCGGCGCAATATCAGTAACAAAAACATAAGATTCACGTCTGATAGTGCGCCCGACATGATTCTCCCCAAGCCTGGCGTGATTCACCCAGGGATTTCCCATTTCAAATCACGCCCGATGCGAAAAACTGTGCCCGGCGCAATTTCAAACAGTAACCCTCACCACTTCGAAAATTTCACCCAAAACCTGCAAAAATCAACATCCCAAACACATGCAAACCAACCAAAGTGTCACCTTTTCAACCAACAACTCAAAAATCATGCCTTTTTACACACGCAACATCAAACAAGGAAAATCCCCGAATTTTCATCAAAACCCCGAAAACCCGTTTTCATCAAAACAGCTCATCATTCATCAAAAAATCAGCCACTCAATGAGTTTATAAACTCATTTCCAACAAAATCAGCCAAAGAACTAGCTTCCCTTACCTCGGTGCGAAAAATCCGAGCTTCGGTAAGAAGACAAAGGAAGAAGAAGCTTGAACGAATGGAGAAGAACAAGCTTGAACAACTAAGGAGGAGAAGATGAACTCCGAACACTCAGCTTAGCAACCCAAACTCCTACTCAGCACCACCACCTAAAGAGAGTGAACGGGGAAGAAGAGAGTGAGTGAGAAGAGTGAAAGTGAGGGGAGAAGAGAGAAAGAGATAAGGGGTCTCACAAATTCAATTTTTTCTCAATATGAAAATTAGAAAATTGGTCCTCTATAGTAGTAAAGGACTCGTATGATTTTTTTGCTGTAAATGTTGTCTATCATCATGAACAATCATTTTATCATGAATCATCTCTAATCACGAACTTCAATAATCATAATAATAAATGGTCTAAGATGTGTAATAGTGTTATCTTTAAGAACTTATTTATGTGATGTACAAATTCTTTAGGATATAGAAGAGCCTTCTCAATACTAATTGCGTTGGAATATAAACAAAGTTCTATATCATTGAATTATGAGGAGAAATAAAAGTTTATAAAACATGCATAGTCTCCATTGATATGAGACTTTTTGAGAGATGACAAAAAATAAAATCACGAGACTTTAAGTCTAAAGTGGATAGTGAACTAACCCAATACTCAATGATAATGGGGTGCGGCTAAAACTTTAAGGACCACTCATACATAAAATAAATAAATAAAAAATCATAGTCCTTTGTGTTGAGGGTTTAGGATTTGTGATGAGGAGAAAGAAAATATTAAAAGAACACATACCTTCTGAGATAAAATAACAATCTTAAAAAATCAAGTCAAAGGAATAAGATAAAACTTGTGTATCAAGTCAACAAGAGTGAATTAATTAAAATATTTGTTTAATAAAATAAAATCAACTTAAAATAAATTTTCTAAACCATAATTAAATAAACTTATTAATCTTTTCGAAATAACACTCAAAATATACTAACACTATCAAAGGTTGATAATCTTTACATTGAATAAGCACCTCTTGTTTGACTTCATATCATGTTCTCACCATTAGAACTTCAGCTGGTCGTACCCTTATCTCCGTTTGGAACAAAGAAAATGAATGTGGAAGAAAAGACCAAATCGAGCAGTAGAACTTTTGAGATGGATCGTTGTTCATAACTTCATATATATCCTAAAGAAACGTCTCATCATTTGGCAAGTTAAACCATCCTTCTAGTCCTCAACTCTGTCCCGGCTTTCATATTAATGTTCCTCAATTTGTTGCAAAATTTCTGATGTCTACCGGTTAAAGTGTTTAAGTAAATTAAAAATAGCATAAAGCCATAAACACTACTAATGTCATTTTCCTGCCAATTTTTCTATAAAAAAATTTTTGCAGAAATTTTTTTAGAATTTTCTTACGATAATAATTTCACAAAAAAATTTATGAATTTATTTTTGAAAAATAATTTACAGATATTTTTTACAAATTTTTTTATGAAAAATAATTTACAAGAAATTTTTGCAAATTTTGCTACAATTTTAATGATCATAGAAATTTTTTTTCATGGTAAAAATTTGTAGAAAATATTGTAAGAATTTTATTTTGTTTCTTGTAAATTTTCTTGCAAATATAAATTTGTAAGTAATGTTTATTAAATGGTATAAAAATTTCGCAGGTAACTTTTCCTCGAATTTTCTTGCCAATTTTAATCCGCAAGAAAAAAAAATTTAACTTTATAAGTTTAATATTTTAAAAAACCTAAGTCCCAAGATTAAAAATGAAACAATTAAAGAGTATATAAGTTGGGGCAACACTTACCATACAAGTTAATTTGTATGGTTGAGTGTTAGGCTTATAATTTACAATCTTAGAGTTTAAAAGATTATGTATCACATGGTTGAGTGATAGAATTTGTAGTAATTTTTTTGATTTTTTTTTCGTAAA